CCTTCTGAAGGATATGCAGAGATGCATGTAATACACCAGGCCAGGAACAACACTATGTTCCAAAAAATGTTTTACTCTTTGTTAGCTTTTCTGGTGCTTATGAATAACACCATCTATCCTCCTGCTTTGTCCCTTCTAATCATTACTTGATGGGTCAGGTTTTTGGAAAGACTGGATAGACATAAGTGACATGTATATATGGATGGTCATATGTTATGGGTTTCTGTTGTCAAAAAAAAAAAAAAAGATCTCAGAACAAGCCATTTTTACAGCTCAGCTTCAATAAAAGGTATTTAAAGCTGGTGGGGAAATTTGGGCTAAAAGTTACAGCATGTTTTAGGAGTATAATGAAGTCATTTATCTCTAAAGATGAAGGAAAATTTGTTCCTCGTGGTATGAATGTTTTAATATGCCACTGTCACAAGATGCAGAACAAAGCAGAAGCCATTGCATTTTATCCAAAGCCAACGGCTCAAAGAACAGTGACCGATTAAGAATAGGATAAATGGGCCATTGCCAAGTTTCCTTGAGCTGTAAACTTCATAAATATATATATATATATTTGCATGATGAAGCTCATTTCCAAAAAGTGTTATTAGTAAGTAAGACTAAAATGAAAATAAAACTTAAAAAAAAAAAAAACATTAATTGAAATGAAGCTTAAATAAAATAACATGTAATTGTGGAAAACAAATGTCACCTTGGTAACTAACTGGAATTAAATAAGTTTAAATACTAAAATTATTGAAGGTAAAACAAAAATAACAATTAATTAAGCCTTGACAATGACAAAAATGACAAAACAATATAAAATTACTAAAACTATAATTATAACGAAAACTGAAAATATAAAAATAAAAATAAATGCTAAATCAAAATATGAATAAATGTTTTTATAATGTATAAATAACACTGAATAAAACGTATTCCAAATATCCTCATCACTTCATTTTGAATGGATTGTGGTCAAAGTAACAAAATGAAAAAAATTCACTGATGGCTGAGTGGTCTCACAATGATGAATATTTTGACAAATTTTAAATCACTTTGTAACCATTTGCATGGCAGATCGCATTGCGTTACTTTGATCCATCAGTAAAATAGTCATTTTTAATTTCAAAGTGAAAAAGACAACAGACAGTGGTCTTGCAATCTGAATCATTCTACAGTATGGGCCTCATAGTTATTCATCAGTCTTTGCCTGGTAGAACACAAGCTACCCTCACTAGGTATTTACCTTGAAACAGGTCATCATGCAATATGGGGAAAATACAGGGAAATAACCAAATATAAGTTACTATGTGTATTCCTCAAATCAGAAAAGAAAGGAAGTTACAAAACTCACCCAAAACACCCACACAGTAGCAGAAACAGTGTCACATGATCATGAAAGTCTTATCATTGACCACATCATATTAACAGCGATAAACAAATACTGACCCGCTGTAGACATGTGTTAGTGTGTTGTTTATTTTCTTGTCATAGCGGTAACGTCTGTAGTCCTCCATGGCGTCTTTGAAGGCAATGACTGTGAGCACCACAGCTAGCGGGATCATGGTAATCTCCTTCTGAAATGCTTTCACCACTGGGACCCAATTCAGCAACACCAAGAACAGGAAGTACAGATTTGCTGCTCTATAGTCAGAAACCAAATATGTCAGTAACTCACACAAAAAAACATAAACAACAACACGCTATCAAATAATTTAGACAATACATGATATATATTCAGCTCAATATCTGACCTGTGAAACTGCTGGAAAAGATTCATGGGTATGAAGCTGATGAGGGTGTACTTGGTGGTCCGGATGCTGTTGTCTTGAAAGCCCTTGGAGAAGCTGTGGTACTCCGCTTGGTGTGGATCACATCGTGACACCACCACTCTTCTCTTTCCAGTGAGCCGCTGAACCAGAGGGTCCTGAGCGTCCAGACTACTCTTCGCGGGAAGTGATGAAGGAGGAGAGTACCAGCCCCTCCTCCTGTCTGTGGATATCAGCTGCAGACATCTGTGACGAACCCAGTAGAATCGCTCCATGAGGATGATGAGATCCCAGAGCCTGAGGAGACAAAATGGCGAAGTCCCCGTGTACGCTACAAACAGCCCACCTCCTGAACACATAAGCAATAATTAATATAAATCCGTACAGTATATTACTTGCAACCTGCCATTGCTTCTCTTTTTGAATCCTGTTGAACAGGCTTAACTTGTGACGAAGCAAACCACAGAAGTTGTGCCTGGAGCTAATACCATTTTCAAGTTAACCTCATACTTCCCTATAACAAGGGAAGAGGAAGAAGTGTTTGACTAGATTCAAATAAACCATCTTACATTTCACATAGGCCAAATTACAAGAGGTTTCGCTCTGTGGCAGACATACTGCAAGAATGACATGACCCGAAATGAGGAAGGAGAAAAATGTCCCTCTAAAACAAAAACGACTATACAAAACACTAAGCACATAACAGGTGACCATGGACATATTTTATTTAACTGGTTTTCTAAACAAAATAAGAACAACCAAATAGTAACAAACAAATAAATGTAAAAAAAAAAAAGCATTAGATGAAGACTTTATCTAGCTTAACTAACCAAGAACTAGTATATTCTATCCTCTACCCAGCATTAAATGGTGACTAACCACATCTAAAGCTAACCTATCTGAATAAAACGTCTAAACATCATTCTACGCCAACTCTTCTGCTATTTGCTGCAAAATCAAAATTAGAATTAATATAATCAATTCTTCAACCCTGTAAAGCTTGACATATTAAGTAAAAGTCTGAAAAAATCCCCTTTTCTGTTATTTACATGGCCTACAAGTAAGATGAAATTCAGAATTCTTGTAAAGTAAAACAATGATCTTTATAATAGTATAGCAGAGCACTTACAAAAATGTACATAAATATCAGTTGTCGCTCTGTATGTCCAAATAATATGTCTTCAGTAAAATTATATTTAAATGCTTAGATTTGCGCAGTTTCTGCAGTTTTAATTGGGGGAAACATATAATGCAATGCAATACAATAATGACTGCGAGATGTACAAACAACTGTTTCTCAGTTTGTACAAACAAATGTTTCAGTGAATCACGTGCTACTCATAAGACGGGAAAAGATCGCGATGAAAATATCATGGTGCTTTAAATTTTGGTTTTTAAAAAGAGAAAAGCTCCGTTTTTACACATCCGGAAACACATTCACAGACACATATGAAGCGTGTACAATAGATGTGCATGTGACCTCGAGTGAATGCAGGTCAAAAAGAGTGTAAAATCATAAAATGTTTATGTCAGCTTTATGGCCCAGTATGTGCTTGCACTTCTTAAATGACCCAATAAAGACCGAGGCGTCTGGATGGGAAACAAGGCAGCAGCCAATTCATATTTAAGATAACAAAGCCTTAAACTTACCGTCGAGTCATGGACTTGGCCAAATTTCAGAGTAAGCTCCTGGACAAATCATGCATCAGCTTTTCAGTTAGTATATTTAACCGTTATATGCCTACAGTGACCTACGAACTTTTTCCCTGCATGAGCTCGCCTAGCACGTGACGATCCTGTGTGCTCTGATCATCAGCCACAGGCCTCCACACTAGTGTTGGGTCGTTCTTGAACGATTCGTTCATTTTGAACGAATCTTTAATGTGACTCTGGAAGAACGAGTCGTCTCGGGGAGTGATTCGTTCAGTCGCGCATGCGCAACATCCTATAGGTTCTGTACTGGAATTAGTCAAGTAGTTCACCTGGTTCGAGTCTTCGGGTTTTTCCGAGTCATTCGTTCATCACGTGACAGCCCCATAAGCTTTAACCTATGCAGTCTGAGTCGGAAAGAGACTTAATAATAATAACCAACTCTTTGTTACCTTTGTTACAACATTCAGTGTTATGGAAAAGAACCATAATGACAGAAATTCACACATTTATAAACTGTAAGAAGTAAAAAGCTACAATTTGAGACCAGAAACGCATCAAGTTACTGTAAGAGTAAATAATAATGATAATAATGATAATAATGATAATAATAATAATAACTATGCACCCGTTTGTAAGGAAGCTTGTAAATTAACTAATTTATCCACTGCTGTCACGTCACGTGACAAAAGAACGAACGATTCGAAGACTCGAGAGATGAATGAATCAATTCTCTTTCCGGCTTAGACTGCATTGGTTAAAGCGTGTGGGGCTGTCACGTGATGAACGAACGAACCCAAACCCGAAGACTTGTCAGATAAGAGGTGAGGCGAGCTAATCATGGACTGAAGACCCAGGTAAACAATGAATTAATATTTTATTTTTCTTATAGCAGTTTTGTATTGTTTGTAGTGTGATCAACGTTTGCGTAAGTAGTAGACGTGTTAGGGAAGTAACACGTAACATTTTAATTATATTTTGCTAAAATGAACGAAATGACTCGAAAAAAGATTCGTTCATTTTGCTGAACGAGACTCAAAGGTCAGAGTCGGTAAAATGATCCGAACTTCCCATCACTACTCCACACACATACACCCACAAGTTTCTCTTTGCGCAACACGTATTATCATGCTTTGGCAATCGAAATAAAACAGAATCCTTTCTTTTTTGGGACGTAAAATGTATATAACCGTAATTAACTACCAACATTTCCAAAGAATTATAAGTACAATATATAATTTCTGAATAGTACATCTTGTAACTAAGACTAAATTTAGTCTTTTTGTTTTAAGATGTGGGAAAAGTTTGTACAAAATCTGTATTTTTGAAAATGTTTAGTTCAATTGTGTAAAAATACATTTATTTTAAAATCTGGGTCTAATTTCAAATCTTTACTGTTAATTGATCATTTTAAACTTTTATTTTGAAATTGTATGAACGACTACTTCCGGGTGTTTTTTTTTTTAAGTTTGGTAAATGTGACAACATTGATATAGTTAGACTATAACACGTAAATGTAATTCATATGTAAAAATTTTAATTAATAAATCCCAACCATAGATATGTATCTTATATCTATGATCCCAACAGTGTGCAGCGCAACATCCTGAAGACGCGACAGAAGTCACGTGACGTTCGATCAGCTGACATCATTGACGCTGAGGAAGACGACTGACAGCATTATGATCAAATTTCTCGAAAAACTACCATCTGAAGAATGTCCTAAAGTAAGTAACAGCAGTTTCCTACACATAATACTATTTAGCAAATAATACATATGCACAAATAGATGCAGTTATTCTGTTCTCGCGTCAGTAGCACATGCCATCAGTTTGAGAACAGCCATGCTGCTCGTAATAATATTGCGTTTTACTCATGAAATTGTTGTTTAATTTAAACCGTCTAATTGGTGAAAACAAATTAAAATTTAAACCAGATACTGTTATTTAGATGTATAGTTCATTTCTGACTTGTGGATTATTTACCTTAAAAACCAATTTGAAGTCAAACTTTTACACAAAAAAAGATATCTGTGGTTTAAAATTGCGGTAAATCTGTAAAAGATAATTGAAATGTTTAAAGCAGACCCAAGTTAATGAAAAAATATAACGTTTTGAAATATGCGTCGGCCCTGATGCATGCCATATCAAGCAATAAACATTGTGGCCAAATTTCATATTTTGAATTGTGTATTTACTCGAGAAATTAAAATTATATACAATTATGCAACTTAGCATTTGAAATTCAATATTTATGAGCTTCAACAAAACTTTTAGCATTATTGTACATTACCATTACAGTTAGTAGTATATGACTTAATACATTGTTTGACAGTAACAAATCAAAAATTGGCAAAACTTCATCATACTGTACAAGTTCAACACTGAAAGTGGCGTAACTAACCCACACTCAGAATTTGTGCTCTGCATTTCACCCATCCAAGTACACACACACACACACACACACACACAGCCAGCAGTGAGTAGTGAACACACAAACATAATTTTGTTGTTAATGAGTGTGCAGAGTGTGGTGTCAACCTGAGTGTGGGTATTGAAGTTATTGAGTGTGGAAGAGAGTGCTGTTCATTCACTCCCTTGACCTACATTTCCTGCCGGAACGGTACTGAGACTCAAACCCATGACCTTCAGGTTACAAGTCCGACTCTCTAACCAAAGTAGGTGAATGAAAAGCGCTCTTTTCCACCTTCATTACCCACAACTGAGGTGCCCTTGAGCGAGGCACCGAGCTCCAAATAGCTCCTGCATGCCACAGCAAAAGTTTGCCCACTGCTCCGGGTGTGTTCACTACTCACTTCTGTGTGTGAGCACTTGGATGGGATGAACGCAGAGGACAAATTCCAAGTACGGATTACCATACTTGGCCTACATGTCACATACTTCAACTCCTTTTTGTATTGTCAGCTCATACACAGGGTGGTGGATGGGGTGTGCGGCCGAAGTGGTCCGAGGCGAACAGATTACGGTGAACGGTGGAGTCTGACAGAATGGGTGGAGTTAATGAACACTCTCTCCTCTTTTATCCGCTTTGCTGTAGGAAGGGGCTGTTCAGATCAAGAGGCAAGTAGATGAATCTGACCAGACATATAAACATATCTATGTACAGAATCATGTCAGTGTTCAAGCAGATTTAGTGGTTGACTAAACATGACTAACTGATTATTTTGCACACACGTCTGAAGATCAAGGAGCTGCTGAGTGATTTGGACACGGCACATGCTGAGGCTGTTCTCCAGGGTGTGCGCTCCAGGTTTGATGAGATCAGACATGCTTTGGTGGACAGAACCAATGGCATCTCAAGCACACAGCTTCAGGACTTCAACTGGCAGTTAAAGGTGCACCAAGCACATATATACACACATGCATTAATCACAGTGATAAGATCATCTATTGATTTTCCCATTTGTTGTTTGCTTTCTTACTTCCTCTTCCCTTTCCTTCTGTCTCTAGCTGGCATTATCCAGCGACAAGCTGTCAGCTTTAAACACTCCTCTGCTAAATCTCAGTCTGGACCTGAAGGAGAATGGAATTCAGAGAACGGTGAATATAGAAATGAACAAAGAGGAGCTGCAAACTCTCATCAGTGCACTAGAGGCTGCTAATAAGGTAATGTTTCAAGGAATAGTTCACCCATAAATGAATATTTACTCACCCTCAGGCCATCCAAGGTGTAGATGAGTTTGTTTGTTAATCAAAACAGGTTTGGAGAAATTTTGCATTACATTATTTGCTCAGCACTAGATCCTCTGCAGTGAATGGGTGCCGTTTGAACGAGAGTTCAAACAGCTGATAAAACATCACAATAATCCATAAGAAATCTCTAGTCTTCCATCTATGAAAATCTGTTTGTAAGCAACTAATCCATCATTAAGCCATTTTTATCTTCAAACCATTGCTTTTGATAGAGTCCTCTATCCATATTATTGCTTTCTTCAGTGAAAAATTCTGATCAGGAGAGAAATATGCACTGATCAAGCACTGTTTATAGGTGAAAATAGTTCTAAGCAAATAAGTTGGTAGATTATGATGTAAAAAGACAACAGGGGATGGACTTTTTCATTATTATGGAATATGGATATAGACTGGTATTTTGGCTGGAAGCCAACAGCTTGAAATTAAAAGCTCATTAATGATGGATTTCTGTATTACAAATACGCAGCTTTTTGCTTCAAAAGATGTTAATTAAAGGACTGAAGTTGAGTTTTTATCAGGTAAAATGTTGAAAGGTAATGGCCTGTAAATAGACAATAGTGGCACCTACACTTAACTCTCCTGGCATTATGTGTCCTATTCTAGGTTGTGTTGCAGATGAAATGAAGATACCAGCGAAAGACTGTTCTGTGCCATCATACTTTTCATTACGAGACAATTGCCTGCATGTGGGCAAACGGAAACCTTACGGACAGAACTGAGAACCTGTCAGTGTCTCTCCTGAGGTGTTCATGAAGGACTGAATATTATTGTTCAAGCTCCATCAGTATGGACCACAGTTGACTTGAAGTTGCCTAAGTAATGGTGGCAGGGTCGTTTTGAGGCTGAGTATTTTGCACTATGAAAAGCTAAATGCCTGCCACAGATCTTGCTTTCAGTTCTCCATGAAATGCAAATGCATTTTGATTTCACACCCCAAAAGGTTGCCTTTCTAAATAAAGTAACTAAAAACATTGAATGTCAACACTTGAGTGTTGAGTTGTATCTTTTTTGCCAATGCAAGACAACACTATGACTAATAGGCAGAAAAAAGGCAGAAACCCCCAGACTTTTTGACGCGATCATGTGACACCACTCACTTGTAATCCTGATTAATAGGTTTGGTGTGCACATGTTGAAGTGGATTAAATCAAGTAAGTTGTATGAATGGAATTTTGTCTTCATTACTGTCAGATCATCTTAATGAAGAGCCAAAGGTGGTTGGTTTATGAGAATTAACCCTTTTCAGTGTCCGTAATTATTAGACTTCCTAGCTCACAAAAACACCAATGCCATGTGGTAATGCAACAAAAAAGCAATCGAGTACAAAAATCAGCTCTTCACATTGTGCTTGGTGAGATATTTTATTTGAATTCATTCAAAAATGTCTATGATTTAAAATAAAGTCTCCTTAAGAACTGTGGTTGCAGTCCTAGGCTTAAATACATAAACTCAAATACAAACACCCTGTCTCATTCAGTGACAGTAAATTCTCCTTCAACACACTCCACATCTACACGCAAGTGCACTGGCCGATAGCATGAGTGCAATTACAGAAATCATACACATAATAGGATACTGTTTTTTTTTTTGGCATTTGCTGTTGTAGGTATCTCAAGCCAAAACACCATGTATGAATGATAGATGGCCTATCAAAAGTTAAATATAACTTCACTTTTATGTGTACGTGTTTGTGTATTCATGCTGATTCTGGCTGGAGCGTGTGAATATGCTTTGTTTTTACATTGCCAGTCTTTGATTAGCATTAATGGAGAATTTCGCAAAGTTAATTCACTCCTGGACAATAAACTGAGCAGCTCATGTCCCAGTCAGATTGTCACTGAAACAAAGAGTGTTGCAATGCAAGCAATTTATTAACATGCCAAATGCATTTGATGTATTTCTAATATACTGAATATTAATGCAGGGCATTTGAAAAGCCATTGAAAGTACCTTTATTTTTAATTATGTGTGGCACCCTTAAGTAATATTTGTTCTATAGAAAAGTAGAAATCCATTCAGAATATTTCTACTCTGCTGTTGTATGTTAAACCCTGTAAAATACTTTTTTTTTTCTTGAAAGGCACAAGTTCAGCCAAAAAGAAGAAAAATCTAATTTGTTATTAAGTCCTATTAGCCATTTTGGTGAGCTTGGATAATATATAACTCACAGTGAATAGCAGTTTAAAGCTAAAATGCAAATGTGAAAGGTAAATACTGTGAAGTCACTTCCTATATAAATAGTTATAACTACATCCCTAAAACAATGCCCATATCTAAAATCATAGCTACATTTTGATTGCAATAATGTTAGGAATGCTGAGTCAAATACTGAACAACAGGAAATAATATATCCCTTTCCTGAAACCGTTTTGTCTTTTAACCTCTTGCTAATGAATCTGGATTTTATATATTGGGCTTTACAGTATAAAATTCAACTGCTGCTATGAATGAAATATGCAGGATTTGTTGGTTTATAAGAAAAAGTAGAGAAAAACATGATGACATCATTCATCTTTCAATACCTGATTTGTTTTAATGTACAAATTTACAAACTGTGAGGACTTTAAACTCGTATCCTGCTTGTCATCATGTGTCGTCATGCTGATGTAAGTACATCCGTTCCTGGCAGGCTGACTACATTTGATAATAGAGAACAAGTGTGTTACATATAGACAGATAATATTTTTTTGAAGTGTAGCCTTAGCCAAGCCCTATAAATACTGTAACCCAAACGATGAGCTCTTTTGCCCATTTCTTGGTAGCAGAGTTGCTAAAGTCTTACTAAGACAAACGGGTTTAATCTACAGTATGTGATGTGTCTAAACTGGGGCAGAAGGTCTTGATTTTAAAGGAATGTTCCAGGTTTTCGTTAGAGGTAAATGAACTTATCTTCAGTAACTATAAATGTATATGATACTGTACATTTAGTCTTGCAGGTGGAGCTTGCTCCATGTAAGCAGAGTACAACTGTTACATCAATTTCAGGTATCCATGAGCATATCGTTTGTATTTACCAGCATGTCATGCCAATATGAATGACTTATGTTGTGGTATTATTATTTCAATTGTCTGGCACATGTACTTCCATTGTAAGTGTCTTACTGTAACCACATTTAAATACTAATACCACAAATACCAAACAGAATTAGGCTGACACTTCCAAGACTTTTACTAATCTTCCTAATCTTTTGCCAGGGTCATACTGACCTCAAACAGAAACAATTTCACTATACTCAATAACTTGCTTTTCTAAAAAATACCTAAATGCTTGCATTGTTGTAAAACAAAGTGATAAATCTTTAATTAAATCTACAGTGTATAAAAGTACCAGACAAAAGTCATTTGTAATTCCTTTCCCAATTGCAATTATTCATTATAAAACCTGAGGGATTAGTTAAAATTATTTTCTGTTGTAATGACATTTATACCACTAATGTTGTCAATACAGCTTGTAATAAACCAAGAACATCCCTTTAAGACCTTCAGTCCTCCAATATATGCAAGATGGATGATGAAAACAACTTCCAAATGCTGTTTTAAAGATTTAAGCCTGTCTACAGCTGCAGGTCAGTCGTCTCAAAAGAAAAGCCTTTTTCTCTCCATTGTGAAGCTGTACTTTCTGCAGTCAGTGAAACTGATCCTACAGAAGCAAAGTGCAAAAATCTGTGACAATTTTAAACTAATATTTGTGACATAATCTACAATAAACAGCTTTAAAAGTTGGGTAGTCATTTTAAGTTATTTTGTCTTATTTAAAAATTATAACAGATTTATTTGATATATGCTTTATAGTTTACCAACAGAATACACCTCCTCCTCCTGTCTGACTGATGGTCAAAACCACAAGGAGGGTAAGAGAGCCTGACCTGATGTGTGAATGGCTGGGTCGAGCCAGTGCTGCTCCCTAGTGGACATAATACAACCAGTATACTAAGTTGAAGAAGGTGTAGGTGATGGGAAAGATGACACGTGACCACTTGTCGATGGCGTTTACGTCTGTCAGGTCTGGAATCTTAACCTTTAGCTGAGCGGCTCGCCTCCTTAGACGACTCTTTTTTCGTGCCATCGGCCTCTCGACAGAGGCAGTGGGCCGGCCGTAGAGGTCCCGACCTGTAAGGGGCTTACGGTATTGGATTCTGGCACTATCATAAGAGAACATGGTGTTCCTCGGGTCCCCAAGAGCACCTAACATCTCTGCCCCGCTAAGGCGCAGGTCAAGGTTTGTCAGGGGAATGTTTCCATGAACATCAACCTTTAATGGAAAAAAAGAGTATATAAGCAGAGAAAAGAGGTAAGCTTTTGTGATTCTTCTTACAAAAAGGTTTATACATAAAACCAACAGCAACTTTGAAAAAATCATTTTTTACAGTGTAATGAAAAAATTAATTGGTGCAACTTGAAGTAAATGTGGAACAGGTTAAAGGGTCAAAGACCCACCTAGGGATGCACCGATACCACCGATCCGATTCCAGCACTGTTTTTTTAATCAACATAGAATTTCTTTACATCAGTGTGTTAACCTGTTCATCAATGTTTTGTGTGTTAAACACAATCTACTAAATATAGACAACTTAATTTTAAAGAAAAATAACAAATGAAAAAATCTATGACAAAAATAATATTATAAACTATGTAAGTGGATAATTCAGCAGCAAAAGTTATTCTAGAAAAATCATGAGTGCACAATAATTTTATAAAATCTAAACATTAAGTGAAATAACACTATTTTAGTGGGGAACAAATATAAGTGAATAAGTGTAGGACTAAATCTGGTAAAATGTTACATTGCTCTTTGTATTGCTCTAAAATACATTCATGAAAAACAAGAAAATATATTTATTTATAAATATATACTATAAATTAAAAGACACTTCTTTTAAATGTATAGCACAGTAATGGAGGCAGCAACATATGATAGGACAGAACAAGAAAGGCTATTAGTAGTCTTTCATTGCACAAAAGTATTATAATACGAAAGGCTCCAATACAAAGCGGCACGAAGCACTTATGTGCATCCCATGCTCAGAATGATGCGCTTGAAGCAACACGCAGTCACAGTGTGCAGCGCTCTGCATAGAGAAGTTCAAAGGCAGCACAAAGAGAAATACTGATGCTATCTGTGATATCTGTGTAATAGTTTATTGAGCCTTTTCTTTTAACAGTTTTAAACTTCAGTTACTGTGCACTCTTGGAAAGAGTTTCAAACAGTTTGAGCGCTGAATGGAGGATGACTGACAGCCGCAGCGGAGAGAAGAGTTTATGTGAACTTGACATTTTTTGGATATTCAACTGTACCTAACATTGAACTATGGAACAGCTTTAGAACACTAGGAATATAGTTCAAGAGAACTTTGTGTTTTTTTTTCGTGGGGCTTAACAATAATAGAATATTAAATGCAGAATATCATATTTGGATCGGTCTCCTCTGACCAATACCCGATCCGGCAGAAAATGCCAGTCTCGTAGCCGATACCGATACTGAGTATTGGATCGGTGCATCCCTAGACCCACCTGAACTTTGTTACTCTCCAAGCGACTCTTCTCGTTGTTGCTTTTTGCAGCTTTTTCTGCCACTTTCTTCTGCAAGTGTGGACCACGGCCGAAGAATATGTAGTTGACGAAGGCATACTCGAGCAAGGCCAGGAACACAAAGACAAAGCAGCCCATCAGATAGATGTCTATGGCCTTCACATAAGGGATCTTGGGTAAAGTCTCCCTAAGATGAGTGTTGATTGTGGTCATAGTCAGAACGGTGGTGATTCCTAAAGTATTACAATGTTTGAAAAAGCTTATTTAGAAACTGGTTGACATCAAAAGTAAATTTAAGAAGTATTGGGGAAAAAGTGAGGTGAAGTGCAACGAAATGTGCTCACACAAACACACACCTAGCGCAACTCTTGCAGCGGAAGCATCATAGTTGATCCAGAAAGAGACCCAGGACAGGATGGTGATCAATGTTGAGGGCATGTAGGTCTGCAGGATGAAATATCCAATGTTTCTCTTCAGTTTAAAACTGAGAGACAGACGAGGATATGACCCTGAAAGTGAGAAATGAAAGTACTTTCAGTGTAGTACACAAAAACACATTCAGATGAGAAACCTTACAGTACACTAGCATTCAAAGAGTCAGTCAGATATTTTAATGTATCTTATACTCAAAAAATCGAAAATACA